TGAGAGTCCCGGGTTTCTGGCGGATTGGAATCTGGGTGGGGAGGCCCAGAGGGGCACTGTTCAGAGTGCTGTCGCTGGGGGAAGCCTGGTGGAGGAAATGAAGCAGGGTCAGGGTTTATGGGTCAGAAGTCAGAGTGCGGGTCTTGCAGGAGAGGCAGCTGGCCTGAGGCAGCCCCAGGGACAAGCTCTGCAGTTACCTTGGGCATGGCTGACTTCGGCTGGATCCTTGTGGCCGGTTGGGAGGCCCTGCACGTGCGTGACACCAGAAGTCAGATCCGCCCTTGGGGTGAAGTGCAGCCACGTGCAGACAGACCCAGCGGGAGAAGCTTGAGAACATGGACCCTGGGGTCCGATGCGTTCAGGTGAGAGGCTGGGAGATTGTGGGAGGGAATTCCAATAGGAGAGGGGATTGAGACCTTCTAGAACTAATGACACCCAAAAAAGATGTCCTTTTCCCTTCTTCCTTCAACTCCATATGGCTCACGGACTCTTGTGGGAGGAGGCTGGGCTACTACTGGTCACGGCTTTCCTGTCCACCAGCTCAGTCTTCTCACTGGAGGCAGAGGGTCCCCCGCACGGGAATCACCTGGGTGTTTGTGGATTCCTGGGCCTCCAGGTCATATGGAATCAGAAGCTCTAGGAGGGGGAGCTAGACACCAGCACATTTCCAGGGGATTTCATCACCCACAGCAGTTAGAGACCTGGTGCTTTTGGTCGCTCAGGGTAGGAACCGCAATGTCCCTCTTACAGTCCAAGACAACGAGGCCCAGAGAGTTTTTCTGTCAATGTCCCCAGGTTGGAACCTAGCAGGAACCTAACCTAATGGAATGTGGACTGGCTTGGGAATCAGGCAGTTCTGCGTCCAAGTTCCTGCTCTTCTCTTTCCAAGCCTAGAGCCACAGTTGGGTCTAAAGCGGAATGGCAAATCCAGCCCAGAGATGGTGTGGCTTGCTAGCTAAGAATGGTTTTTACACTTCTAAATGGTTGAAAAAAAATCAGAAGAAAAATATTTTGTGACATGAATATTACATAAAATTCGAATCCCAGTGTCCTTAATGACTGATTGGAACAGAGTCATGCTCACTTGTTTTTATCTTGTCTGTGGGCTGTTTTTATGCTACAGAGCAGAGTTGAGAAGTACAGTAGAGATTGTATAGCCCCCAAGCCTAAAGTAATTCCTATTGGGTTCTTTACAGAAAAGGAATGCAGAAGTAGGAAGTCAAGAAACACCTGGAATAACAGGCAAATTTGGCCTTGGAGTACAGAATGAAGCAGGGCAAAGGCTAATAGACTTTTGCCAAGAGAACGCACTGGTTATACCAAACACCCTCTTCCAATAACACAAAAGAAGACCCTACACTTGGACATCACCAGATGATCAACACTGAAATCAGATTGATTATATTCTTTGCAGCCAAAGATGGAGAAGCTCTATACATTCAGCAAAAACAAGACCAGGAGCTGAATGTGGCTCAGATCATGAACTCCTTTTTGCCAAATTGAAGAAAGTAGGGAAAACCACTAGACCATTCAGGTATGACCTAAGTCAAATCCCTTACGATTATACAGTGGAAGTGACAAATAGATTCAAGGGATTAGATCTTATAGAGTGCCTGCTGAACTATGGACAGAGGTTCATGAGATTGTATGAGAGACAGGGATCAAGACCATCCCCAAGAAAAAGAAATTCAAAAAAGCAAAATGGCTGTCTAAGGAGGCCTTACAAATAGCTGTGAAAAGAAGAGAAATGAAAAGCAAAGGAGAAAAGGAAAGATATAGCCATTTGAATGCAGAGTTCCAAAGAATAGCAAGGAGAGATAAGAAAGCCTTCCACAGTGATCAGTGCAAAGAAAGAGGAAAACAATAGAATGGGAAAGACTAGAGATCTCTTCAAGAAAATTAGAGATACCAAGGGAACATTTCATGTAAAGATAGGCACAATAAAGGACAGAAATGGTATGGATCTAACAGAAGCAGAAGATATTAAGAAGAAGTGGCAAAAATATACAGAAGAACTGTACAGAAAATCTTCACGACCCAGATAATCACAATGGTATGATTACTAACATAGAGCCAGACATCCTGGAATGAGAAGTCAAGTGGGCCTTAGGAAGCATCTCTACAAACGAAACTAGTGGAGGTGACGGAATTCCAGTTGAGCTATTTCAAATCCTAAAAGATGATGCTGTGAAAGTGATGCACTCAGTATGCCAGCAAATTTGAAAAACTCAGCAGTGGCCACAGGACTGGAAAAGGTCAGTTTTCATTCCAATCCTAAAGAAAGGCATTGCCAAAGAATCCTCAAACTACCGCACAATTGTACTCATCTCACACGCTAATAAAGTAATGCTCAAAATTCTCCATGCCAGGCTTCAGTAGTATGTAAACTGTGAACTTCCAGGTGTTCAAGCTGGTTTTAAAAAAGGCAGAGGAACCAGAGATCAAATTGCCAACATCCACTGGATTATCAAAAAAGCAAGAGAGTTCCAGAATATTATCTATTTCTGCTTTATTGACTATGCCAACGTCTTGGACTGTGTGGATCACCACAAACTGTGGAAAATTCAAGAGATGGGAATACCAGACCACCTGACCTGCCTCTTGAAAAATCTGTATGCAGGTCAGGAAGCAACAGTTAGAACTGGACATGTAAAACAACAGACTGGTTCCAAATAGGGAAAGGAGTCTGTCAAGGCTGTATATGTCACCCTGTTTATTTAACTTATATGCAGAGTACATCATGAGAAACATTAGGCTGGATGAAGCACAATCTGGAATCAAGATTGCTGGGAGAACTATCAATAACCTCAGATATGCAGATGACACTACCCTTACTGCAGAAAGTGAAGAAGAACTAAAGAGCCTCTTGATGAAAGTGAAAGAGGAGAGTGAAGAAGTTGGCTTAAAGCTCAACATTCAGAAAACTAAGATTATGGCATCTGGTTCCATCACTTCATGCAAATAGATGGGGAAACAGTGGAAACGATGATAGATTTTATTTGTTTGAGCTCCAAAATCACTGCAGATGATTAAAAGAGGCTTACTCTTGGGAAGAAAAGCTCTGACCAACCTAGACAGCATATTAAAAAGCAGAGACATTACTTTGTCAACAAAGGTCCATCTAGTCAAAGCTATGGTTTTTCCAGTGGTCATGTATGGATGTGAGAAAGTCATGTATGAAAGAAAGCTGAGTGCCAAAGAATTGATGCTTTTGAACTGTGGTGTTGGAGAAGACTCTTGAGAGGCCCTTGAACTGCAAGGAGATCCAACCAGTCCATCCTAAAGGAAATCAGTTCTGAATATTCATTGGAAGGACTGATGCTGAAGCTGAAACTCCAATACTTTGGCCACCTGATGTGAAGAGCTGACTCATTTGAAACGACCCTGATGCTGGGAAAGAATGAAGGCTGGAGAAGAAGGGGAGGACAGAGGATGAGATGGTTGGATGTCATCATGACTCAATGCACATGAGTTTGAGTAAACTCCGGTAGCTGGTGATGGACAGGGAGGGCTGGCGTGCTGCAGTCCATAGCGTTGCAAAGAGTCAGACAGGACTGAGTGGCTGAACTGAGCTGAACTGAACTGAAGTGCCTTAAATCCCTCCTACCTCTGGACAGGATTGGTTGAGAGTCTTGGTGGGTGGGGCTAGTACAGGGGCTGCAGAGAGCAGGCGCAGGGCTGGGAGGGGTTCAGCCATGAGCAGGGTAGGGGGCTCACAGCTTAGCCCAGGGGTTGGGGTGAGCATGAGTAAAGGCTAGATGAAGGCAGTGTGTGCTCAGGCCCAAACAATTGAGAATTGGGATTGGGGAGGTCTGACGAGTAGGGACTGTGAGGGCTGAGATGGTCCACTTTTAGGGAGAAGGTGTGACTTGAATGAGGTTTAAAAGGATGGTTAGATAAGTAGAGTGGAAGGAGAATGTAAGATCACTGAGGCAGGAGAGCTTGCATCTTTCCTAGAGGACAGAAGGGGCCCAGCTGGTCTGGAGTGAAGATATTCTTTGTCCAGGAGAGGCGAGATTGGGACTAGAAGGTCAGTTCATAGAGAGGCTTGAGTGCCAAGCTCGTGAGCAGGCATTATGTCCAGTTGGCAATGGGGAACCACTGAATATTACTGAGCGGAGGAACCACTGAATGTTACGTGTTCTAACTGGATGGCTGAGCTTGAGTCAGGCTGGCAAGATATTGGGAGGGAGAGCATGTGAGGAGAATCAAAAGGGGAAGGATCGTGATTCCAAGGTCAGTTAAGACTAAAGAAAGACTCTTTGACCCTTTGGGCGGAGGTATGTAACATTACATGCAGAAAACCCCTTTAGGGGCCTAGGTATCTTGTCTTGAAAGAGGTCTCAGATCATTAGTGGACAGACCTGCCTCCCACTCATCTGTGCAGTTGAGAGCAATCCTTTCACCCCTACAAATCCTCAGTTTTCCCCTCTGTGAATTGGGCATGATTTAGCTGGTCTTCAAGGACTAGTGTGGGGATTAATGAGAGAAGGAAGAAAGGGTCTAGCCCAGTGTTTGGAGCATAATAGGTCCTCCGCAGATGGTGTTCCCTCCCCATCTGCCATTATGGAGCTGGCACAGAGCTAGACACAAAGCCTGGCCCTCCAGTCACCATCAATTAGAGAGAGTTTCTGCTTTCAGAAAGGGATGTTGGGGCTTCCCTCATGGCTCAGTTGATAAAGAATCCACCCGCAATGCGTGAGACCTGGGTTCGATCCATGGATTGGGAAGATCCCCTGGCGAAGGGAAAGGCTTCCCACTCCAGTATTCTGGCCTGGAGAACTCCATGGACTGTATGGTTCATGGGGTCGCAAAGAGTCGGACATGACTGAGTGGCTTCTACCCACTCTGCTTTCAGAGGTCATTTATTATTCAATCATTCAGAGTCATTTCAGAGGTCATTTATTGTTTGGTCATTCAACCAGCATTCAAGCCACATTTCCAAGCACCTACTGTGTGCTACTTGCAGGGACACAGAGTTGAATTAGACCACTATCCACTGGCCTTGGAAACTTTATTAACTCGTTCTTTCAGCAACGCCCATGGAGCCCTACTGTGCACTTTGGCTGGGATATGGGGGTGGGTGTTGGGGAGAAAGAGAGCCTGGCTGGTGAGGGCAGGGGTGAATCAACCCCACAGGTCATGCCTCTGCGTCAGGGAAGAGCAGGAAGCCGGAGAAGATGCTGTTGGCGCCGTCGATGCCCACCAGGGCGTTCTTGTCGGTGGCCTGCAGGAAGACGGTCTCTTCCTTCTCTAGCTTGAGCACAATGCTGCCCGTGGTGACCTGGAAGGTGTTCTGGACGTAGTCGCAGAAGGTGACCACCTTCTGGGGCGCCTCCCGGCCCCGCATTATGTCCACGCACAGCTGCCCTCGGGAGCTGGCGTGGTAGGTGAAGAAGTAGAGCCCGGGCACCTTGCACGTGAACTTGCTGGTCCGAGCCTGGTAGTTTTCATTGGCATTGGTGATCACGTGGTCGAAGCGGATGGTCTGGCCTGATTTCAGGTGGTGGTTGATGGTGCGTGAGGCCGAGAAGGCAATTTTCTGCGTGGCCCTGTAGTCTCCTGATTCACCCTTGGGGCCGCGGGCTCCGGGAGGCCCTGGGACACCCTTGGGCCCAACAGGGCCCTTGGGGCCGACTTTTCCCGGCATCCCAGGAAACCCTGGGTCCCCCTTCTCGCCATTCTCGTTGAGGTGTCTAACTAGCCCTGGAAGCCCTGGAAAAGCAGAGATGAAAGAAATGAGGGGGCCAGAGATGGCTGAGGACCGGAAGAGGCTGGGCTGGGAGGCAGGGAGCCTGACTGGGTAACCTCAGACAGGCCCCTGCTTCCCTCTGGGCCTCTGTGTCCCATCTGTGAACACGAGGATGGGAGGCTGGTGATGTGAGTCTCCTTCCAGCCCAGCTTTCCACATCTGGGATGTGCTTGGTGGTAATGGGGACCAATGCCCATCAGGGTGGGGGGCGGTGTCTTGCTAAATCTGGAAGTGGGCATTCGAGCCCTTTGCATTCCACCACTCTAAACCCCTCCGTGGTCTGGCACAAGATGTAAAACCTTTTCTTCCAGGAGAGTGGCAGAGGATAGTTACTGTGAGTAACTAGTTACTGTGAGTTTCCTGTGGGCTCAGGGGACAGGCAGGTGATTCTTACATCACCTCTGCCATTCTTAGTTGTGTCCCCTTGATTGAGTCACATTCCCCAAGGCTCAGCTTCCTCATCTGGAAAATGGGGATGATGGTATTTTGTGGGCTCGTGAGGATTCGATGAAATTGTGTGATGAGAGCAGTTGGCTGTGGTTAAATGGATGCGCGAACTACGTCTCACAGGGGGCTTTGAGGGGCAGGCAGCTTCATTTGAACCCACTGACAACTCTGCAAAGGAGCACCATCCTCTTTTTACAGGTGAGGAAAGAGCAGTTCAGAGAGCTGAAGCCGCTGACCCTGAAGGTACCCCAGGACTCTGGCCACAGTGGATTTACTGGTGAGAGAGCCAAGGTTGGCCTCAGCCTCAACATTGACTGGGCTTCCCCGGTGGCTCAGGCAGTAAAGAATCTGCCTGCAATGCGGGAGACCAGGGTTCAATCCCTGGGTAGGGAAGATCCCCCGGAGAAGGAAATGGTAACCCATTCCAGTATTCTTGCCTGGAAAATTCCATGGACAGAGGAGCCTGGTGGGCTCTAGTCTACGGGCCACAAAAGAGTCGGGGCATGACTGAGAGGCTAACACTTCACTTTCAACATTGACTGGGCTCCCTTGGGCAAGTCAGTAGCCTTTCTGGACATCAGTTTTCCCACCTGTAAAGTGGGGATCAGAATCCCTTCCTTGCAAGGTTATTGTGAAGGGCTCAGCAAGCTGATGGCTTTGCAAGTGTTTTGCACTCTCTAAGGTGGGCCGCTACCTTGGGAGGTGGGCCGCTGCCTTGGGAGGTGGTGACGGGGCCTTGGGGAGTGACCCTCGTGTGCTCCCAGCGTCCACAGTACCTTGCTCTCCCTTTGTCCCTGGAGTCCCAGGCTTGCCGTCAGGGCCTGGTTTCCCGGGAATGCCCGGGATGCCAGGGATGGATGGCCCGATGCAGCTGCTCTGGGCCCGGGAGACACAGAGCAGATTCAGAAGCAGCAGCGGCAGAAGCACCGAAACGCTGCCCCGAGGGGTCTTCATCACGGCCTGTCTCAGCTGCTCCCTGTCGGGGGACAAGACGATGCGGTTGGTCATGGCCACGGTCTGTCCATTCATTTCTTCACTTGTTCCTATGTTCCCTGAGGGTCTTATCCACCAGACCCTGTTCTGGGTGCTGGGGATACAGTGATGAACAAGACAGATATGGTCCCTGCCTTCATGGAGCTGACGGTCTGGGGGACTAGAAACGGGTCAACATGCAAGTCAATGGAACTGGTTATACTCTGTGGGGAGCACTCTGGCTGAAACGAAATGAAAGGGGCCCCGAGGGCTGGTTTTGTGAGGGGCCAGAAAAGTTTCTTTTGCCAGAAAAGTTTTCTAGACAAGGGAGGCATCTCTGAGAAGTGATGTTTAGGCTGAGACCCAAAGGATCAGACAGGGCTGGGGCAAGAATGTTCCAGGAGGAAGGGACAGAAGGCAAAGGCCCAGAGGCCGCACAGAGTCTGGAGTGTTGAGAACTGGCAGGGAAGTCAGGGTCTTGATTGCTGTGGTTTGAGATTTTGGTCCAAAGGTTCTCAGTCATTTGAGCTTCTGAATTCAGGCTGCCTGTGCTTTTTCCACAGTGGGCCGCATTATATCCTCAGAGCAGCTCTGCCCGGAAGAACCGATTTGTCTACACTGAAGGGGAGACGGAGGTTCAGAGAGGTCAAGTCACTTGCTCAGGGTCACACAGGAAGGACTGCCTTCAGGACTTGAACCCAGGCCTGTGTGGCATTGAAGCCAGCGACCTTGCCAGCATAGCAGGCCACCTCTTCTGGTAGAATAGTCTCGGGTCCCTCCAAAGGCTCTGGGCCCTGGTGAGAATCCTGGGGAATGGGACAGAAACTCTGGGGTGTCTTGAGCTTGTCAGCATGGCCAACGCCCATGGCATCAATTCTCGGGACAGAAGGGACCTTAAAACTCATCTAGTCCAACACTTAGCTTCTTCCTTTTTTAAAATTGAGTTGATATTCTCATAACACAAATTTAACCCTTTTAAAGTGAACATTTCAGTGGTGTTTAGCACATTCACAGTATTGTATAACCCTCTCCTCCGTCTAGTTCCAAACTATTTCCATCAATTTGACAACCCTCAAATAACATTCGGTACTCACTAGTTAGTTACCCCCGAATCGCCCTCCCCGCTTCGGTCCCTGGCAACACACTCCTCTGCGTTCTGACTCTATGGATTTACCTGTTCTGGATATTTCATAGAAGTAGAATTGTATATACTATGTAACCTTTTGTGTCTGACATTTCATTTAGCATAATGTTTCTGAGGTTCATCTACATTGTAGCATGGATCAGTACCTCATTCCTTCTTAACGGCTGAATAGTATTCCATTGTATGGACATATTACATCTTGTTAATCCATTTATTATTGATGGGCATTTGGGAAGTTTCCACCTTTTGCTTATTGTAAATAGCCCTGCTGTGAACATTCATGTACAAGGTTATCTGAATACTTATTTTTAATTCTTGGGTATATACTTAGAAGTGGAATTACTAGGTCTTATGGCAATCCTGTGTTTAACTTCTTGAGGAACCCTCAGCTTACTGTTAAGTCTCCCCAATAACATCTCTGCCCAGGCCTCTTCCCATCCATGGCTTGTACCATTTCAGTGATGGGAAGCTCATTACCTTCCGAGGCAGCCTGTTCCACTTTTGCCCATATCCAATTTCTCCCCATCTTTCGAGGCTCCTGTCAAAGCCTTTCTATTCCAGGAAGGCTTCTCTCATTAGCCCTCAGCCCACGGAAGCTGGGCCGTCTCCGGCTTTAACATAGGTGAGCAGCATGATCCCAGCCCATCTCCCAGGATAATCATGGGGACCCACGTGAAGCCGTGGCTGGGAAAGAGTCACGGAGTTTTGGGGCTCTAGTTCAGACCCATAGCTGCTGTTGTCTGATCCTCACAGCACCCTGGAGGAGTGAGTCGTGATTATTTTCCCGTCTTGCAGATGAGGACACTGAGATACAAACATTAGAAAACAACCCTTCCTAAATCACCCAGTGAGTTGGTTAATGGCAGGACTGTGGTCAGAACCCTGGGCCTTACAGTGCCTGTGCTAACCCAGAATTTGGCACCTGGAGGCCTTCCTGGTACTAGAAAAACCTGCTTATTTGGGCTTGTGTGCTCAGAAAATCAGCCCCAGCCCCCTCGGTCTGGTCCTGATCAGTTCATGGCTCAGACTCCTGAGTGAGGCCGGAAGCTGTGCTGGATACCATGCAAAGAGGGACTGCAAAGATGGATGTGACCAGGGCCAAGAGTGACCAGCTTGGGCTCTGTCATGCTCCCAAGAGAGGCTGACATTCTATTTATCTTGCTGGAGGTTTCACAAATGACAGTTTGACAACCTTAATAATCAATGCATTGGGCCCTTAGCATGTGCCAGGCTCTGTGCCAAATGCTTTCCAGGTCGTTCTTTCATTTACTTTGGTCCTTACAGCAGCCCCCTGAGAAAGCGCCCCTGCTTTTTCATTTCACAGATGAAGAATCTGGGCAGCGGAGAGAGGGGGAACCTTGATCAAGGTCACAGAGCCATGCATGGCTGGGATTCAAACCCACTTCCACTGGGTCTAAACCCCAGGGGGTGTTACATTAAGAGGCCTCTCTGCATGCATGCTGTTGCTTCAGTCGTATCCGACTCTTTGTGACCCTGTGGACTGTAGCCCGCCAGGCTCCTCTGTCCATGCGATTCTCCAGGCAAGAATACTGGAGATGCCCTGCTCCAGGGGATCCTGCTGACCAAGGGATCAAACCCGCATCTCCTGTGGCTCTTGCATTGTAGGCAGACTCTTTACTGCTCAGCCACTGGGGAAGCCCAGAGGTCTCTCCACCTGGGGTTAAAACACAGGCTTTGGAGCCAAACAGCCTGACACAGGAGCTACAGCGTGGCCTGTGTTTAGCGCATTGCTGGAGGTGGGGCCAGAGCTCAGTGACGGCTCTTACTATCATCGCTATTATTGTTGCTCCTGTTGGGAGAATCACCAAAGGTGAGAGGCCTGGAGGGTCACAAGGAGAGGAACGGTGCCCCCAGAGGGTCCAAACCAGGCTTCTGCTCCTTCTTAGCTTTGGGCCTTAGGCAAGTGGCTTCTCTCTGGCCACAGTTTCTCCCTCTGTAAAATGGGGATAATCCCAATCTCTGCCTGATCTCTGCTGAGCTTTCTCATCAGACTGCCAGGAAATAAGAGAAGGCAGGTGTCAGAGAAATTGCTGGGTTGGTGGAGGGGGTCCTGGGTTCTGATTTCACCTCTGCCTCTGACATAGGCAGAACCAGGCTAAGTGTGCTAAGCAGTGACTAATGGGGTTGGTGGGAGGACAGGTGAGTTAGGGCTCACCACATCCTGGCATATTGGAAATGCTTAATGAATATTAGCTATTTTTGAATTATCACCATCCTCCGGGAATCCCCACGTTTCAGGACACCACAGAGGATGCTTGGAAAACTAAAGAAAGAATTTGGTCCCTTTGGGAGATTGGGCTCAGGGAGGGGGCCTGTCAGGAGCAGGCAGCGCAGGGGTGGGGGAGCTCTGGTTGGCTGCCAGGGGCATGAGTAGGGGTAGGGGTTGATGATGAGACTCAGGTCTCTTGAGGAAGCTGGAGGTGGAGTGGGGGACTGGGGCGATCTGGGTTCTGGCCCAATTCAGGGGCCACCAAATCTTAGACTTGGGTCAAGACTTAACACAGCAGATCTGACCACCCTCTGCCTTCAGCATCTATCACCACCATCCACCTCACTCCTCACATCTTTCCTGACATCATCCATCTTCCTCCAGCTCCAACAGCCCCTTTCCCCCTGACTTGGAGTCAGGTCAGATTGACCTTGAACTCCCCCTCTGCCACTACCTTGCTGCCTGACCTCAGTCAAGTACCTTAACCTCCCTGAGCCTTTGGCAAAGTTGGCTTCCAGAGGACGATGTGAGATGGAGCCTAGAAGGAACTCGGTCTCTAGCACTGTGCCTGACCGCACACCCTCCTGCACAAGCATCGTTGAGTTGTGTCAACGCTAACTAATAACTCATCACAACTCCACCTGCCATCACCCCACCTCCTCCTTGAAAGAGGCTAGCGGAGCTTTCTCACCACACTGCGAGGAAATAAGAGAAGGCAGGTGTCAGAGAAAGGCTGGATGGAGGTGCTGGGTTCTGGTTTCACCACTGCCTCTGACATACCCTGAGTCAGGCAACGTGCTAAGCAGAGGCTGAGCTGGTCTCCTTTAGGGCTCACAGCACCCTTGAAAAGTTTTGTTATCTGCCTAGAGGATCCAGGCTGAGAGGATCCAGGCTGAGAGAGGTTATGTCATTTGACCCAGATCGCCAGCTCCTGAGAGGCAGAAGCGGGGCTCAGCTCCAGTCTCGGTGACCCCAGAGCCTTTACTCAGATGCCTCCCCATTACCTGGGGCCCCAGGTAGCAGCAGACTCCCTAGCTGACCCCCCAGAGGAGTTGATTCCCGAGGTCTGGGATGGGGTGCAGGAGCCCTCACTGTCCAACCCTGCAGGTGGCTCTGAGACAGAGGATGTGGGGCCCTACACTCAGGAGGCGCCACCCTCTGCCCCATTGGTCCTGCCAGCCGGTCCCCCTATTGCTAAGCCCCGTCCTCACCTGGGAGCCTGGTGTCCTCTGAGGCCGCTGGGCTGGGCAGAGTGGGACCGGGTGCTGGGAGCCTCCTGCTCTCCGTCCAAAGCGGAAGTTCCATTCCCCAGAGATGAGAGGGGCCTTTCCCTGACGGCGCCCTCCCCGGGCCCAGCAGGCCAGCCTCCGCCCCTGCTCACCCCACTCTCACTCTTTCTGCTGTCCTCAGGCTGTTTCAGGTTCCACTTCTGCAATCGGGAGGGGTTTACTGTAAACATGATGGGTGGGTGGTCAGTTTGGTTTCGCCAGCTCAGCAGCTGTTGGGGGGAATAGGGTGTTCCAGGGGAATGCCCACAATGGTGGGGGGCAGCGCCTGCCAAGGCTCCTGACCTCATGAACTTCTGCAGGAACTGCGGTGTTCCTCCATGGAATGGAGATGTGGCCGGCCTGCTGCCTGAGGGCTGGGTTTGCAGTCAGAAACCCTGATTCAGATTCTGGCTCTGCCATGAGCAGCTAAACATGTTTAGCCAAGAGAACCCTTTTGTTGTTATTTAGTTGCTTCAGTCATGTCCGACTCTTTGCAACCCCATGGGCTGTGTAGCCTGCCAGGCTCCTCTGTTCATGGGATTCTCCAGGCAAGAATACTGGAGTGGGCTACCATTTCCTTCTCCAGGGGATCTTCCTGACCCAGGGATGGAACCCGCACCTCCTGCATTGCAGGAGGATTTTAGTGACTGTAATTATAAAGTTAGAATTCCAAGGAAAACAAGGGTTTGTAGTTGTTTTTATTGCTAAGTCGTATCTGACTCTGTGACCCCGTGGACTGTAGCCCACCAGGCTCCTCTGTCCATGGGATTTCCCAGGCAAGACTCAAGGATCCAACCTACATCTCCCGCATTGGCAGGCCGTTTCTTTGCCGCCGAGCCACCAGGGGACCCTCGGGAGCCCTGATTTCCTCTGCTGCGCGATGAGACCATAATCGCACTTGCTTTCCAGATTGCAGAGGGCACTGTGGAGCTCAGATGGGATAGCGGAGGAAAGAGGAGGGTGAGCTGTAAAGTGCGGTGCGCGTGTTAATTGTTAGTATCAAACTGTGTCCCAGGCCTGCCTTTCCTGGGCTCACATCTTCTGCTTTGCTTCTCGTCTACAGCTCTGCTCTTTTTCTGTTCTCAGAAAGTAATCTAATAATGAAGAGTGGATTTGTAACGTGGTTATTATTTATTTATTCCCCTCCCCCTTCTCCCAGTGGACCTGATCCTGTTGCTTGTTGATCCTGGCTTTATAGAATTCCAGGAGAGAGGGGCATGGGTGGGCATGGTCACCCCACCCATGCTGTCCACGTTATATATCAGGAAACTGCGGCCTGGGGGAGAAAGTTATCATTCAACAAATATTTATCAAGAGCCTCTACGTACACTGGAGATGGAACCACAAGCAAATCATCCCTGGGTCTGGCCCCCCAAGGAATGTCTCTTCTACTGGGGGAGGCTGGTATTAAACATCAGTTCAGTTCAGTCGCTCAGTCGTATCTGACTCTTTGTGACCCCATGGACTGCAGCACGCCAGGCCTCCCTGTCCATTACCAACTCCTGGAGTTTACTCAAACTCATGTCCATTGAGTCAGTGATGCCATCCAACCATCTCATCCTCTGACGTCCCCTTCTCCTCCTGCCCTCAATCTTGCCCAGCTTTAGGATCTTTTCAAATGAGTCGGCTCTTTGCATCAGGTGGCCAAAGTATTGGAGTTTCAGCTTTAGCATCAGTCCTTCCAATGAATATTCAGGACTGATCTCCTTTAGGATGGACTGGTTGGATCTCCTTGCAGTCCAAGGGACTCTCTGACTCTTTGCAACTCCATGCACTATACAGTCCTTGGAATTCTCCAGGCCAGAATACTGGAGTGGGTAGCCTTTTCCTTCTCCAGGGGACCTTCGCAACCCAGGGATCAAACCCACATCTCTGGCATTGCAGGTGGATTCTTTGCCAGCTAAGCCACAAGAGAAGCCCAAGAATACTGGAGTGGGTAGCCTATTCTTTCTCCAGCAAATCTTCCCAGCCCAGGGATTGAACTGGGATCTCCTGAATTGCAGGTGGATTCTTTACCAACTGAGCTATCAGGGAAGCCTCGGTATTAAACATCAAGGGACACAGTGGTTTCATCGCTCCTGTAATGGATGTCACAAGTAGCTACTGGAGCCCGTGCCTCATCCTAGTGGCAGATGCACGACTCAGAGCCAGGCATCTCTGGTGCCGAGATATAAGTCCTGTCACTGAGACTGCATCCAAGGTAACATGAGGCCCCTCTCAGGGATGCTTGCCCAGAAAGTCCCAGGAGCTGCCATAGGTCAGGAGGGCTCTCTTGACATCAGTGCTTGGAGATGGAAAATCATTTCACTTGTGGATGCTGCTTGATGGAAATGAAGTATTTACTGTAGTGGGTGAGAGACTCATTTGATAAAACCATCTCTGGACCCAACCAAATATAGACTGTCCAGTAATTTGGTGGCTGGTGACAATGGGAAAAATGAACTTAAACTTAAGGTAGAGGCAGAAGGAGCCTAAGAACAGGAAGCAACACGGTTTGGGGCCAGGAGGGTTGGAATAGGCCCCCTGCAAGTTTGAATCCCAGGCCTACCTCTTTCTAGCTCTGTGGCCTCAGGCAGCTTCCCCACATATGAACCAGGGACCTGGACACCCACCTCCTGGAGTAGTCGTGGGGGGCCAGTGAGGTAGCCCGGCATGTCCAAGGCTTAGCTGAGCACCCAGCCCTTGGTAGGTGCCAATGCAAAGTTGAGAGTAGTATGATTCTCTGAAGAGAAGACAAAAATCTTGGAGCCTGTATGCACAGGAGCCATGCCTGGATTAGGAGTCAGGAGCTAGGGAGACCCTTGGCCCCGAGTGAGAGTGAGCTGGTCTCGTGTATGTGTGCATGCTAAGTCGCTTCGACTGTGTCAGACTCTTTGTGACCCTGTGAACTGTAGCCCGCCAGGCTCCTCTGTCCTTGGGGATTCTCCAGGCAAGAATACTGGAGTGGGTTGCCATGCCCTCCTCCAGGGGATCTTCCCAACCCAGAGCTCGAACCCAGGTCTCCCGCATTGCAAATAGATTCTTTACTGTCTAAGCCATGGGAAGCCCAAGAATACTGGAGTCGGTTGCCATGCCCTCCTCCAGGGGATCTTTCTCATCCAGGGGTGGAACCTGCATCTCATGTCTCCTGCATCGGCAGGCAGATTCTTTACCACTAGTGCCACCTGGGAAACCCAGCTGGTCTTTGACTTTGGGACTTCCCTGATGGTGCCGTGGTTAAGAACCTGCCTTCTGATGCAGGGGAAGTGGGTTCAACCTCTGCTCTGGGAGCTAAGATCACATGTGCCACAGGAGAACTTAGCCCGTGCACCAAAACTACTGAAGCCCACTACCCTAGAGCCCAAGCGAAGCCATTGCAATGAGAATCCCACTTAACTGCAACTAGAGAGTAACCCCGCTCGCTGCAACTAGAGAAAACCTGCGCACAGCAAAGAAGACGTAGCACAGCCAATAACTAAATAAATCTTAAAAAAAAATCACTGACTTTTCTCCCTGGTAGAGAGGGATTGATCCTTACAAAGGGTGGAAAAGAAGCCTAAGGCCCCTCCACACCCCGTGGTCTTAAAAGAGGCCCCCTGCCCCCTGGAATGCCTCATTCCAGCTCCTCTCCCAACCTTGCCTCTGCCCTCGAAAGCCCTCACCAGCTCCCCCCAGCCCAGCAGACAAGCTGGCATTTTTTTCAAAGGCCGGTCCCTCCTGACAAAGAGAGAGCAACAAGGAAACAATTATGGAAAATAGAAATGGCACAAAAATGGTTGCTTCCAAAGTACAGGTCTCTGATCTGACACTGTGGCCTACATGAACAGTGTATTGATTTTTTAAACAAAAGAGAAACGAGAAGAAAGATGTATCACTTGAGGCACTGCCGGGTAGACCGCTAAGTGGTTGCTGGAAGTGAACTGTGAGTGGATTGGCCCCATGACCTCCGCCTTGTCCCTGCCAGAGGCTCTCAGACCCTGTGAACCAGCCTGGGTTCCTGGGCCCTGGCCTCTGTTATTAGTGTGTGTGTCTTCATCTCTCCTTCCTTCTCATCTGACACATTTCCCATGCCCTCCTATGCATGAGCCAGGCATGTATCAAATGGGCTTGCCCTCTAGGATGCTCATGGTCCAGTAGGGAGGCAGACTTGTAAGGAAATAAGTGCATAAAAGCCAACTGGTGGACAATATGCATTGACTTCACCTGGCAAACTGCCTGTCCACCCACATCTCTGTCCTCCCCAAACCTGTCTTTTGGTATGACCATATGTATTTGTGAAAAAAAAAAAAGATTAAACTCAGAAAAAAAATCATGTTTATGGTTCCCAGGGGCAGAGAACTGGTGGAAGAAAATACAGGATAAAGGTTGTCGAAAGGTACAAGCTTCCAGTTATAAGATAAATGCAAAACATGTAGTGTATAACAAAACCCATACACCACAATAGCAAATATCAAATTGTGGTATGAACCAAAGAACTGAATAGACATTTATCCAAAAAATATATACAAATGACCAATAAGTTCATGACATGTTATTCAACATTATAAAAAATATAATGAACAAGGTGACCAAAATTAGCGCAGCTGTAGGATATTACAAAAATTGTTAAGGGAGTAAATCCTAAGAATATTCATCATCACAAGAAAAAAAATTTTTGGTAATCATTTCATAGTATATTTAAGTCATATCATCACACTGCACAGTTCAAACTTTGACATCCTAAAACAAGAAAAATATTTAAAAGGTAAAAATGCAAAGCATTTGAAGAGGACAGACCACTACTGTTTTACTTTTAAAATTATTTTATTAAATCTTAAATGCACAATAGCTTCTTAACTCTACACATGAAATACATGTCTTAAGAAGAATGATATTATGTCTTATTATCCCATGATTCTGGCTAACAGCTTTTCAAAACTTCGAGAAAAATCTTGAAAAAGGTTTCCTATGTCAACTGAAACTTGGAAATGGGATATTATCCAAGAAGGGATGATTCTACACTCTTCCAGAGACTGCTGGAAAGACAGAACATTTCAAAAGCTCAAAAACCATCGCAAAAACATTTTTGAAAAAGTCTTTCCCGCGTAGGAAAATAGTGTTAATACGTAACTGAGTCCACTCACAAAGTGGCTCTAGGTACTAGCTCTGGCGTCTTCTGCCGTGTCGCTGCATATTTAGGCGCGACTGAGTTAAGCGTTTCCTTTGCACTGTTGTTTTGATCATCTGAGGCTCTCCTCGCCCCTCTGGGCTCCTCTGCATGCAGTCAAGCCCACGGCCACTGAGAAGGCCCCCACCGTCTTGCCTCTCCATAACCCCCACGTCCTCCACCGCCTCCTGGGTCGTGGTCTCCTCCAGTGTATGACCCGCCCATGTTTCTGCTGTCTCTCAACTTTCCACTCTTCAGTAAATCGTACTTAAAAGGTTTCTGCTTCTGATTGCCCAAATCACTGTCATTGCGACTTGCATAACTTCTTCCTCCGTAGTTGTCATAACGGGCTCTGAAGCACTCATCCTGGTAGCCGTCTGCAGACCCTCCACCACTGCATCCTCCTCGTCCTGCCCCATAGCCAGGCCTAACCCCCCAACTGCCACCTCCAGCTCTTCCTCCGTACCTGTGAGAGCCATCCCCAAACTGACACCCTCTTCCAGAACCCCAGGATCCTCCTCTGAAGTTCCTTCCTCGTCCTGCTCCCATATTTGCACCAACACCATGAAAATACCCGAAACCAACATTGCTTCCTCCTCGATTTCTCAAATGTTGGCCTTCTTGCATCTCTTGCCTAGACAAGGCCTTTCTTACTTCTGCACGATGACCGTTGATGGTATGATTTTTCTGCAGCACGATTTTATCGACGGGATCGTGGTCATCAAAAATAATAAATCCAAAGCCCCTTTTCTTGCCAGACTGTCCATCAGTAACTATCTCAATGGCGTTGATTTTTCCGTACTTCTCAAAGTAATCTCTAAGATGGTGTTCCTTCCTGTCTTCTGTAATTCCGCCAACGAACAGCTTCTTCACAGTGACAAGAGCCCCCAGCTTTCCATGGTCCTCTCTTGGGACAGCGTGTTTGGGCATAACCATTTTCCCATCAATGAAATGAGGTCTGGCTGCCATGGTGGCATCCAGCTCAGCCATGGATGAAAACGTGATGAAACCAAATGTTCTTGATTTTTGTCTGGCAGGGTCCCTTATTAACACACAGTCTGTAAGATATCCCCACTGCCGGTAATAGTTCCACAGACTTTCTTCTGTGGTCTCAGAGCTCAAGTCACTGACCAAGAGTTTACGGAATTGTTCGTTTTCTCTCTTACTCCTCTCCAAAGGAAGATTGTGAAGCTTTCTTCATCACGGGCTTACTCGCTTCAGCCATATTTCTGATGCTGAGGAGGGTGAGAGAGATCTCAGGGGGCTAACAGGGACTGAACTGGGTCCCCATGCTATGATGAGAACGTGAACCTGACCTGTCCTGACCTTGGGATGAGAGCCTCCACTGCCTCAAGGAAAACACCCCTAGGAGCGCTTCCACGGAAACCCAACACTGCTGATGCTACCTCTGGGGTCACTGTGGCCCTTGAATCAACCTTGAGTAGCTTTCAGTTTTTCAGAATAGGTTGATTGGTGAAACAGGCTGATGCAGGTTCACCCAGTTCCAAGAGCTCCTCTGTGACCCACTCCTGAGATGTAGGACAGCCTGGGGCTTGCTGGAAATAGTAGTCTTCTCAAACTTCTATAACAGGTCTGAGTCCAGAGATCTGTAAATAAATCCGCAGGTAATTTTGTTGCACCCCCAGATTCGGAAACCTGGGCTCTAACAAGCCACAAGTCTGTGGTCCAAGTCGGTGGAGGGCGCTGTGGGGCACGAAGGGAAGAATCAGAGAAGGCTTCATAGAGGAGGTGATCTTTGTGTTGATTCCTGACAGCTGAGTGTGTATTATCTAAGTGGACTGTGTGCGTGGGGCAGGAGCTCCACAGAATGAAGGAACATCATGGGTAAAGCCCTGGAGGTGAGAGACAGCAGCTTTCAGGAACAAAGAGCCAAAGTGGATGGAGGTGGGTGGAAAGCTGGGCTCTCGCCTCTGCTGCTCCGGCTCATCTTGAACCTCTGTGAGCTCCACAGGGTCTTGCAGAACCAAGCGGAGACCCCAGCCGGGCTGTGGGGGCTCTCCCTGGCCTGAGTGAGCCTCGGGCCTCACTGGACTCTGAGGCCCGAGCTGCAATCTGGGCAGGAAAGTTACACTTTTTGCCTTTTTGAACCTGAGCTGTCAACCCCTTGTTGTGGTCGGCACAGTGAAAGTGCAGCAGTTTACGGCCAGCTTCCTGGTTCTCCAACAAGATGACCCAGCTGGGCCCACCAACAGGAATCTCACAGTGAAGCCCAGATGGCTTATAGGAAGCCATGGTCTTGGATGATCTCCTGAGGGCCCCCAGAGTCTCAGTTATTCGGGGGAAATTAGACTCCAAGAGTCAGATCCTCTCTCACCCTTCCATGCCCATCTAGAACATAATTATGAATGTTAAATGATTTAATAGGTGGGTTAGCATCATGCCTGGTGCATAGTAAGTGTTCAATAAATTTTAGCTATTACGATTTTCTTTACTCATTCACTTGCTCTGCTTTTAGTCATTCATTAACCCCCTATTCATTCATGCATTCACACCAATTCATTCATTAATTCAGCACAAATTCATTGCACATCTTGTCTGTGTCTGTGCTGGGCCCACCTGAGCCCCAAACCCCTCTTGTGAAGGGTGCTCCAGAAATTCGACAGGGATCAACATAGTTTGGGAATTCAAACACATTCCCATTCACCTGTGAGCATGGATATCTTTAAGACAGCAGTGCCTCTCACATGAACAAGTGACCGCAGACACCCCCTTGGGAACCCCTTGCGGCTTTTCAGCTACATTTGAGCAGCTCTTTCCCAAATGGCCGAACGGTGCCGAGCGTCTCAACCTTGGCACCAAGCTTTACTGATGCCTGAATCTGGAGGCCACAGATGGCTGTGACAGGTGCAAAGTGGAAGATGAAGGGAATCGCTTTTTAGGGAATTGGCAGTGAGGATTCAGAGTCGCTCATAGCTGTTGATTTAGTTATTTATTTATGTGCTTCCTGCCTCTTCCTGGACTTGGAAAACACTCACGGCAGTACCGGAGGAGGAGGGAGAGAACTCAGGGCAGGAGGGCAGGGTGGGCTTCCTGGAGGAGGCAGCGTCCGTCTTTGGCAAGAGCGGCCTGAGCATGGATGCAGCACAACGGCTTCTCGCGGGGAAGCTGAGGGGAGATGGGGCGGCCCCCGGGGACCAGAGCAGACCTGCCCACCCTAGTCAGGGAAGAGCAGGAAGCCGGAGAAGACGCTGTCAGAGCCCTCCGTGCCCACCATGCCGTTATAGTCGTTGACCGCCAGCCACACCTGCTGGCCCTCCTGCATCCGCAGCAGCACGCCGCCCGAGCTGACCTGCTTGCTGCTGGTCATGTGGTCGCAGAAGGTGGCTACTTTGAAGCCGCTGCGGAACAGCAGCACGCACAGGTTGGAGGTGTGCGACGTGTGGAAGACGAAGTAGTAGAGGCCCGGGACTTTGCAGGTGAACTTGCCAGTGTCCCTGTCGTAATGCCCCTGCGGGTTGGTGATGACCTCGTTGAACTTGACCAGGCTGTTGGCCGCCGGGAACTGGACAGTCTGCCGCGTGACCGAGAAAACGGACTGGTGCTTCTGCTTGTACCTGCCCTCCACACCCGGCTCCCCGGGGGGGCCCATGGCGCCGGGAGTCCCCGGAATCCCCGGGATCCCCATGGGGCCGTTTTTCCCAGGATAGCCAGGCGTGCCGGGGTCTCCCTTCTGGCCCTTGGGTCCTCGGGTCCCAGGGGTAGCTGGGATTCCTGGGGAGAGAGCAGGTGGGAAGGCAGTGATGGGGCAGGGGGTGGGAAGAGGGACCCGATGGGCCTCCAGGGGCCACCCACCAGGGTTGGTCCCTGGACTCTCCTTCCCCCAGATGGCGGCCTATCCACCTGGGAGCAGTGTGCAGGGAGCAGGAGGGGAGGGAGACCGTGGTTCAAATCCTGCCTCCCCTTGGTCTTGCCCTCTGACCTTGGCTGAGTCTTGGCCCTAACTCTCCACCTCGGTTCCCACATTTGTGATGGAGAGGGTAGGACCGGGCAGCTCAGGAGGTGTCAGAGCCAGGCTGGCTCTCAGAGAATGTGCCAGAGGCCACGACTGTTAGCCCATGGACACCACGTGGCCTCAGATACCTCCTCACCTAAAAGTCTACGTTCCTACTTTTTCTTGACAAAAAATCAGAAGATGGGTCAGAGGCAGATTTTCTGGAAAGCTCCTAAAACTTAAACTTTAGGCTCCATTAACTTGCACTGACCCCGTCAAGGTCCTTTGGGTAATTTTATAAGTTTTTCAATTTTTTGTGTTGAAATAATTACAAATTCACAGGAAGTTGCCAAAAAAAATTTTAAAAAAAAGGAAGTCTTGTGTATTCTTTACCTAGTTTTCCCCAATCTTGCAGAACTAAAGTATGGAATCAAAATCAAGAAATTGACCACAGCTCCTCTTTTACATGCACTGTGTGTGTGTGCAGTTCTAACACAATTTTGTAGTGTGTGGAGGTTTGTGTAACTCCCCCCCACACACACACATCAAGTATCCCTAATTTTGTACTATTTTTCTTAAAGAGGGTCCTCAATATTTTATAAGATTCAGAGCTCCACAAAACTGGTTTCTATGTCTGAGCTGGAACCACTCAGGCCAGCTTAGCACATGGGGTCCAGCAGATGGAGCCTTCCAGGCTGCCTGTCTCCAGTCCTTCCACCCCGTTTCAGCCTAATTCAGACCCTCTGACAGCTGGCCCAGCTCAATTTCCTTCAAGGTACGGATGCGGAAAGTGAGGCCAGAAACCTGCCCAAGGCCATGCCACCGGTAGGAGGTGGAGTCAGGACTCAGAAAGTCAAGTCTGTCTGCGTCCCGGTCCGAGTGTCTGACGCTTGTGGCCGCCCTGGTTATCGGAGCTTCCGTGAGCTTCTTCTCCCCTTGTCCAAACCATTCTCATCTTTCAGGGCCTGACTGCAGTCTTCTTCCAGGAAGCCCTCTCTGACCACCCCTGCTGGCCCTCATGGCTGTTTCCTCCTCTGACTGCCTTTACGGTGGTGGTCGGTGGAGACAGGCTAACAGAATTCTCTGCAACTGGTGAGCTGCGTAGATCCCAGGTTAGGAGGAGAGAATCAGAACCCAGTGGACCCAGGCCTCAGGCTGTGTGATCCCAGGCAGGTGACCTCCCCTCCCAGAGACTCTGTTCGCCCAGGTGAGATAAAGCCATGATGGAAGGGATCCCCCAGAGTGGCTAGCCGAGTGGGGTGGGAGCATGCGTGTGCCGGACACCTCATAGGTAGTGCTCAGTAATGTCAGAACTCGGGGGGTGGCCATCAGCGATGCTGGGCAAAGCTGTGCCTCTTCTTCAGGCAGTGGGGGCAGACACACCGTGGGGAGGGGGCCCTGAGAGGCAGCGGACGGTCGTGGTGGAGGGTGTGGCCTCGGGAATCCAACAGGATCCCAGTGTGTGACTCTGGGCCAGTGGCTCAATCTCCCAGAACCTCAACTTCAACATTTGTACAAAGGGGGTAAATCACATCTTCAAAGGATTTTGGCCTCAGCTTTCTCATTTGTAAAATAGAGTTAGTTTTTTTCTGCCCCGAGAGATGAATCTACGGAGAGCACTTGGAACCTGTGTCTGGCACAAATTAGGAGCTCAACACTTGGTGACCATCAACCACTCTGGGCATTGAGATAGCCAGAGGCAGCTGTGAAGTTCAGGGTCCTGGAAAAATGGCAGATCTGGGGGCTTCCTTTGACTCAGCCTGAGTTGGAGGATTCCTTCTGGAATGTTGGTGTGATTCCACTCTCTTTCCAGGAGGGCAGGTGATGGTGGGAAATTCCTAAGGACATCCGTCTCCACTGGTCTTCCTCGCCCAATGCCTCTGCCACCCCTGACACCTCTGCTCAGCCCTGCCCCGGCCTCCTTCACACCCACTCTGGACACACTCCACCCCCCTCCAGATGTGTGCCCACCGCCAGACAAAGTGCCCCCAGACTCCAGCTCTCACCCAGCACCCAGCGCCCATTCATGTCCTCAGCCCTCTTCACTCATGCTGGGGCTTGCCTGCGAATCTCCAACAGATGATTCTGTGACTGCGACCCTGACTCCTCACTCCCCACCCCTGCAACTACCCAGAGCCCCAGGGAGGCAGGGGAGCACACAGCCCTGATAGACAAGGATGACAAGGGCAGCAACGACCAGAGCCTGCACTTACAGATGACTTCCACGTGCTGCTTTCTGTTTAATCTTATTGATCATCACAGCACGCCTGTGCAACAAGTACTACCATCTCCCCATTGCACAGATGAGGAAACTGAGGCACTGGAGGCTTTTTAAGTTGGGCAAGTATACACAGTGCGTGGGGGAGCGGGGAAGCGGTGGGGCTGGGACTTGAACCCTGACCATCTGGGCTACAATCACTGGGGTCCACGTTAGAGGGCAAGTTGTGGAAGGGATGGAATAAAACAGTAGCAGAGTGTTTTAGAAGTTCGCCAAAGCTTTTGCCTGGGTTATCTCCTGTGACCCTCCCTGCCAGCTTCTCGGACAGGTGCTCTAGGTCTCTCCTTGGTATCATATGGGAAATCTGAGGGGCAAAGAGGTGAATTAGGGACACCTGAGTGCTGGGCTCTGAGGGGAGAAGGGCCCAGAACTGCCACAAGAGTTAAAGCTTGACCGCAGGAGTGGGTGTGGCCAGAGACCACCCTCCTCACCATCAAGCCACTGAACACCTTCCTCCGAGTTGGTCCCGGATGGACAGTCCCCCCAGGCCCCAGGTGGCCTCTCCCCGCCAGGCTGGCAGACTCACCTGGTTCGCCCTTGGGCCCTGGCAGCCCGTCATACCCGTCCTTCCCGGGGGCCCCGGGCAGGCCCGGCATCCCAGGGATTCCATAGCAGTGTGTGCCTGTCTGGCCCCTGAGCGGCCGTGCCAGCAGGAGCAGCAGCAGGTTTAGTACCAGGAGGCGCCAGGCGCCGGACCCCATGTCCGCCTGGGGAGGGAGCTGATGGGGAGAGAGCTGAGTTGGCCCCTGGCCCACCCTCCTCACCCTGGCCGACCTCCCTTCTCCGGCCCCTCGCCCCTGGGGGCCGCCTGATGGATGGGGAGTGGGGTCCCTGCTTCAAGCTCAGGACCCCGGCTCAGTAGAGACAGGGACCCTCCTTCTTGTCCCAAGTCAGGCTGCCTCTGAGGCCACGTGTCAGGAAGCGGCGGCGGGGAAAAGCTGCCACCTGCCCTCACCTGGACGGGTGGGAGGTGTCCGGTCTGGTCACGGAGAGGTCCTCGGACCGGCTTCCCCTCTCCAAGGCAGGCGTACGCCGTGTCCGAGTGGACCCAGCCAGGAGGACCCGGAGCGGACTGGGCGGCCCCCTCCCGCCTCCCCCCAAAACCACATCCCCTTTCCCATAATTTTTCCTGACTCAGTACTTTATTCTGGGTGCTGAGCTGGGCTGGCCGCGGTGATACCCCTGTGTGCCCGCTGGGTCATGAGTGTCTGAAATGAGGAAATGGCCACTTCCTTGGATCTGGTGAAAGATGTGTGTGTGTCAGTGTGTATGAACCTCAGCTGCCTGGGCAGACTTCTAGAGTTGAGTTCAGCCTAGCGAATACCCATCCCTGTTTGTTGCCATTTACTGTGCCTGAGACAGCTATTTCACAAGATCCACAGGAGGAAGTTATAACCCTCCTCTTTGCAGATGAGGAAACTGAGGTTGAGGAAAGTGAAACCCTTGTCCAAAGCTGCACAAGTGAGTGGTTTCTTGGGTCCAAAGCCTTGCTCTGACCGCTTCATAGCTGCGCCCAGAGACAAGTCTTGTATGCATTTGTCAAATGGCAGGTGTTATTTTAGAAATGTCCATACTGTGCGTGCTAAGCTGCTTCAGTTGTGTCTGACTCTGCAACCCTATGACTGTAGCCCACCAAGCTCCCCTGTCCATGAGGGGTCTCCAGGCAGGAATATTGGAGTGGGTTGCCCCGCCCTCCCGACCCAGGGATTGAACCCACGTCCCTTATGTTTCTTGCATTGGCAGGTAGGTTCTTTACCACGAGTGCCATCTGGGAAGCCCAACCTTCCATATGCCCCCCCATTTGTTCTACTTGGGGGTGCACTCAGTGAGGGCAAGCTTTGAGAGCAGGCAGCCTGCTGTGGTGGACAGACTCCTCTGGGGTCTCCTTTCAGTGCTGCCGCTCCCTTGCCTGGAGGCCTTCAGCAAAGCCCTGGTGTCCCTAGGCCTCAGCCTTCCCATCTGTATATTGGGGGTGGGGTGGGGGAGGGAAGACCGGGCTTTTGGTGTTGGCATTTCTTCCTCTGCTGGGGCTCCGGGTGAACCTACCTTCCCTGCCAGCTCCACCTTCCTCACCTCCATCCCCAGCACCCCACATCTGCTCTCAGAGCCCATTAAGGCTGGCGAGGGGTTTCCAGTCTGGGCCAGGCTGGCAGAGCTGAGAGAGGTCCATTCTCCCCTTCTCCTCATGAGAAGTTTCAGGAAAGAAGGAGGTAATGGGCAGTGGAGTGTTCCAGCCCTGACTCTGCGCCTGCCATTCATGTAAGTGAGTGGTTTGACCTCCCCAAGCATCGATTTCTGCTCTGAAAGTGGGGTTTCCAGGAGCCTCCATGCAGGGCAGGGCTAATGCCCACGCCGTGCCCAGCCCCGTGCGAGTCACACGCTGAGTTCGGAAGGCTGCCCCTGCCTCGGTCAGGGCCCGTCTCCCCAGCTGGCCCTCCGCCCCGTGGCTCTGGGCTGCAGAGTGTGGAGCAAGAGCGAGAATGTGAGTGCACTTGGCCCTGGAATTCTCAGGTGGGTGCAGGGCTGGGGAGGGCAGAGAGGACAGCCGTGGCATCAGGAGGGCGTGGGGGACCCGCCGGAGGGCACCCAGGCCCCCCGCCCGTCTTCGGCCGGCACCTGCTTTGCGCCTGGTCTGGCTTGTCCAGCAGGTGGCAGCCTCTGCCCGCGCGCGGCTCTCCCTGGCCCCTCCCGGCTGGCCAGCTGGACGCTGCTGGGTCCCCTCCTCTCCGAGGGGCCGTGATCTGCCTCGGCAAAGAGGGGTGGGTGTGGATGGAATTTAGGATACAAAGCAGCGGCGTGCCCCCGCCCCCGCACCCATCATTTCTACAGCCGGGTCTCTAGCTTCTTATGGAACCTCCACCCCGAGGGTGTCTGGGAGCCCCATTGTGATGAGAAGCCCTCCAGTCTGGAGTCAGGCAGAGTTCAAAGCCAGGACCTACCGCTTTCTGCCACTGGGCCTTGTGTAGACACCTCGGTTCTCTGAGCCTCGGGGTCCTCATTGTTTTGTTGGGATTAAACGCATTGATGGTTATGAAGTGTCCAGCTCACAGCAGGGCTTCACAGATCTGTTTCGCTTCCTGGTCCATGTGCATGTATGTGTGTGCCGGGCTGGCCGGGGGGGAAACCAGGGCAGAGTGGAGGCCAAAGAGGGGCTGGAGAGCCTCCGCAGCCCCACTCTCTTCTTCCTGATCCCACAAGACTGTCGATGGGGCCAGACAGACTCCCAGAGGGTCCCAATGTGTGGGGAAGGAGGGTGGGGGGGGGCTGTCGGTACGTGAGGACCCCAAGGTCAACGCTCGAGAGAACAAGGGCATTTCCAAGGTGCGTGCGCGTGGGAGGGTGAGGCGTGAGTGTGCACCTGTGTGTCAGGGCTACGTCTGGGACGTGTGTGTGAGAGAGCACTACTGATGGCTGCGGGGAATCGGAGGTGGGGCTGTGCAGGTATGACCGTGTGTATCCCTTAGTGTGTCTGTGCGTTTGAAGGCACAAGTAGTGTGCCCAGGGGTGTGCCCTGCGGGTCTCAGGGAGTGGGTCTGTGGGTGAGGAGTGAGTGAGTCTTGGTCCAGGAAGTGTGTGAGTGTGTGATATGTATTCTCGTGTGTGTGTGTTTACATGTGAGCATGAGCAGCACAAAGGTAAAGTTGGCTTCCTTTGGCAAAAAGCATGGGGCATGTCCAGGACTGGACTTCCGGTCTCCTTACCCTTCTCACACACAGAGGACATAGTGGAGCTTTTGCTTCTCAGCAGCACCCGGACAGGCAGAGTGGGACCCTGGGAATGGACCAGGAACATTCCAAATCCTCCAAGGCCCCAGTGCAAGCGGGATGCATGCCCACCCTCCACGCCTGCCAGGGTAGAAGTCCAGAGCTGGACTCGGGACACTTGGCAGGGAGGACCTCTGGATGCCCTTGGGTCAAGTGCTCCCTCTCTCTGAGCCCCTGCCTTTCTGGTTCAGCCTTGGAAGCGACATGTGCCATGTGTCAGGTGTGTGGCTGTGGAGGCTGGTGAGGGGAGCAGGTAAACACGCAGACTTGGGTATTAGCAGGACCTGGGATCAACCCCACCCCTTCCCCTTACATGCTGCTGCTGCTGCTGCTAAGTCGCTTCAGTCGTGTCCGACTCTGTGCAGCCTCGCAGATGGCAGCCCACCAGGCTCCTCCATCCCTGGGATTCTCCAGGCAAGAATACTGGAGCGGGTTGCCATGCCCTTCTCTGCCTTACATGCTAACCTTGGGCTTTAAGTTCTCCTTAACACTCACTCAGTTTCATTATCTGTAAAATGGGGTCAGTCATAATACCCAACTCAAAGTTCACCTGTAAAGACTAAACAAAATACAATAAAGGCTAAACTGTATGTGTGTGGGCTTAGTTATTCAGCCGCATCCGACTCTTTGCGACCCCATGGACTGTAGCCCGCCAGGCTCCTCTGTTCATGGGGATTCTCCAGGCAAGAATACTGGAACGGGTTGCCATGCCCCCCCCCAGGGGATCTTCCCAAACCAGGGATCAAAACCAGGTCTCCCACACTGCAGCACCTTCTTTACAGTCTGTGCCATCTGAGAAGCCCCTTATTAATGCCCCAGGAACTCCCCTGCAATTTTCATATATCAAGTCATTTAATCCTCTGAACAACACATTGAGGTGGGTGCTGTCACTATTCCCACTTTACAGATCAGGAAACTGAGATTCACCAAAGCAACATAAATTGCACGTAATTGGATTTAGGCAAATGGTGGCCCAGGATTCGAGCCCAGGCTGATGAGGCTCCCAGGACCTGCTAAATACATGCTGTAAAAAGCTAAATATGGGCCTGCCTTGTAAACACTTAAATAACTGTTGTCATTCTTCAGCATCCCTCCCAATGCCCAAGGTAGTCAGTGCACTTCAGGCTCAGCAGATGTGGATTCAGATATTTATTCCAGGAAGAGTTCTAAGACATGATCTCCGTTCAGGCAGCTAAAGCAACAGAACACCCACTCGATAGGGCAGAGCAGAGATGGCCAGAGAGCTGGAGTGAGTGGCCCAGGGTCACACAGCTGGATGCAGTGGCCACGGTGGGGACCAGGGGCGGGGGTCTTCCCTGCTCAAGTGGATGGGAAGATGAGGAAGCCACTGAAGATGCTATCGGCCTCTGGGCCGTGGTAAATGCGGCCCTTACTGGCATCTTTTTCAATCCAGACCTGGTCTCCCTGCTGGAGATGCAGCACCGTGCTTCCAGACACCACCTGCAAGAATCCCTTACTGTTGAAGTCACAGAAGCCCAAGGGCTGGATCTGGCCCCTCCGAGAAGACCTGATGGACAGGCAGAGGTCCCACTTGGACACCACCTGGAAGGTGAAATAGTAGTAGCCTGGGACAGAGCAGTGGAACCTGCCCGTGTTGTTCTGGTACACATTCTCCTGGTTGGTGATGACCTCTCCGAAGATGACCACGTTGTCTCTCGTCAGAGGGTTCGGTCTCACGGCCGAGAAGGCTGGCCGCGGCTGGTCCTTGATGTTTCCGGGGTTCCCTTTGGTGCCCTTCAACCCCGGGAGGCCAGGGGACCCCATGGGACCAGCGGGTCCTGGGTAGCCCATTCTGCCTGGATTTCCAGGTGGTCCAGGGTCGCCCTGGTCTCCTTTAAGGCCACGGATGCCCGTCTGGATGGCAGGGGCCCCTGTGGGGAGAAAGGTTAGGTTGGGACTGAGAGTCTGGTATCCTCCAGACCTCAGGGAGGTGGCTGGGGCCCCAAATAGCTGTGGGATAAGAGGGTAGGGGAGTGTCTTGGCCTGATTGATTCTGACTGGTTCTGTGTGACCTTGGACAAGTGTCTCAACCTCTCTGAGCCCCAGCTTGTTTATCTGTACAATGAAGAGAAATTGAACAGACACTTGGGGAAGGATTAGGTTCTGGGAAAAGGCAGTCCACTGGCTTCACTGCATTCCTGCCCACAGCTGGGCACTCCACACTTCCCCCTGTCCCCCACCAGGCCATTGACCTCGACTTCTTCAGATGCAGGGGCTACCTGTAGGATGCCTGGGTACAGATCATTGCAAATGCCTGTGCAGATCTTTCTGGTGGTCTATGGACTGGGAGTCTCAGGGTGATTACACAAGACCATCTTTTCTGGCTCTGGTCTTGCCCTCCTCCCTCTTCCTTCACCCTTGGCCTTTTTTCTCAAATATGAGAGTTTCTGAAGCTTGAAGGGGCAGGGAAAGGAGAAGCAGGGACAGGCTTGCAGGGAAGCTGGAAGCAAAAATGACAGATGTTATGGATTGATCCCTCTCCACAAGCTAGGTGGGGTCTTTCTCCCTTTTACAGATGAGGCAACTGAGGCTCAGAGAGGGTGAGTAACTCACTCAAGGTCACACAGCAAGACAAGGGCTCTCAAATCTAAAGGCTAGGGCATTCGTCTTTCTGGTGATTGTACAAAGACCAAGGCTGGGCACAGCTTTAGGACCTTTCACAGGCCTTGCTTGAAGTGGCCTACTCTCCAGAGGAGGACGGCAAGGCCAAAGAAAGAGGATGTGGCGGTTACGGGGGATATAGAGAGGCCCCGGGGGGCCTTGAGAGAAGGCTGGGCCCTGGGACCGAGCACAGACTGCAGGGGCTTCACGTGGGGGCCCAGGTGGACCTCTGTTTCTCACTGCCACCCTGAGCCGCCACCTCCAGGAGGCCAGCCCAGGCCCAAGGATGAGGGGCTGCGGTCCCAAGGGAGGGCTTACCCGGCTCTCCTCGCTCCCCCTTGAGGCCTGGCCGTCCGGGTCGGCCAGGTATCCCTGCATTCCCATCAATCCCGGCCGGGGCTCGGCACACGTCCTGGGTCGTGGAGGAGGCCAGGGAGATGGCCAGCACGCTGATCACCAGCCAGCCCCGGGGGGCTTCCATGGTCCCGCTGTGGAGACACGAGCAGGGCCTGGGCAGGCTGGACAGCACACACTTGTTCACACCCAGCTCACACACTTGAACCACGCCCCCCCCCCCCATGATATCTGTATATGTCCCTGACCATTGCACACATACCCTACCCAGGGCCTTTGAAGTCCACTCTCCACCCAGCTCCAAGGACCCCCCTAGCATACACACAGATCCACAAACTCACACAGATTGACACACACAGCTGAACATACACATAGGGTTACACACTCAGACACATGAACACAGCTTCTAGCCCTCAGACACCTACACAACACAATAAGCAAACTTAAAAGTCCACCACACAACCCTGGACACTCCGACTGACACACTCCATCCCTCACTTACCTGGACACACACAGTCATACACTCCCTACAGATGATCGGTTCCTTTGAATAAATATTTATTGAGTGCCCGCTCCCTGTTTAATTAACACTCTCTCACCCAGATGGCAGAGTTGCACATCCACACTGGAATTCACAAACAGCTGACACACACATCTGCTCCCTCCTCCCCACACGTGGAACCTCTTAGCACCCACTGGAGGACAGACAGCTGACTGTCACCTCCTGGGTCCCTCTGTGGGACCCCTCTGTTGGGCTCTGACACCCCAGCCTTTTCCCAGCCAGGATCCAGGAATTCTGGTTAGAGCTGATGGCTCTGTGGCTACCTCCCAGCCTCCCCCCAAGACTCTGGAGTCAAGGCCCCCCCATTTACTTGTTCTGGGTCCTGGACCAGTGCCCCCCAGCCCTGTCCTGGCACAGAACCAGGTAGGAGCACTCTCCCTCCCTCCCTGCCCGGTCCAGTCTCCTGGGCCACCTCCCCTGGCTCGCTAAACGTCACAGCCCCCTTCCCCATCCAGCGGTGGCCTCACCTGCGTCCAGTCTTCAGCGCACTGGATACTCTGGTCCTTCACGCGGGGACCCCTGTGGGACACCCAGCAGGGCGGTGCTGGCCCGGGGCCAAGTTTCACATCCCTTCCCACTTCTCCTTCTCCTTCCCTGGATCCGCCCCAGAGGCCAGAGGCCAGCAAGGGACATTTTGAGCAGACCTCAGCAAGACTGCAACACGGGACATCCTAGCCCAACCACACTGGCGCAAGCGCAGGGACAGCAAGGTGGGAGGCTGCTGGGATGGGAGCAGGGGAGGGGGTCCTGGGCGGGGCAGTGAGGCTCCCGAGACACGGAGCAGCAGGGTAGAAGGAACCTTCTCTCAAATCAGTGACTTGTAAGACTTTTTCACAATCGCGGAAGCAGCACGTATTCATTGCCAAAAGCTTGGTAATACAGAAAAGCATGAAAAGACAAGAACTGTGACGCAGTCGTGAGAGGCTTGGTCACCAGCTTTCTAGGCTGCCACTTCCTCGCCGCATGTCCTTGGGACTGTGCTTGACTTCCTGGGGCCTCAGTCTGTTTTTGGTTGTTGTTCATAAGTTGGAAACCACAGATTCTACTTTGTTGAAAAGTCTAAAGTTTTAGAGACATAATACACATACAAAACTCTGGACATTTAATAATCAGCTTTTATCAACATTTAAAAATAAAAAATGAAAATCAGCAATAAATGCCCACCTAGCGAACTGCTGTCAGCATTTGGAGGGGTCGCCCAGCCTTGCTCATGGTCACTGACGGGGGGCTCACAACCTGTCAACCCAGCTCCCTTTGTTGTTGCCAGCCTGAGAACGCTTTTCTTTAGACTGGGTGATTCTGTCTCCCCCAGATCGGAGGCCAGTGTGTTCAGGCCTGGCTGACCATGTCTTTCTGCTTCTCCCCATGGCCATGTTTTGTCCTTGCTGCCGTTGCTTTGTCTCATTTTCCAGAGGGAGGAGGAGAGGAAGAGGAGAAGAGGGAGGGTTGTTGCACCTGGGCAGGTGAAGGCAGTCTAGGACCAGGGTTTTCAAGACTCGGAGACTCCCTTTTTCTTGCGATCTTGTGTGACAGGCGATGTGCATACAAGTACAGGTGGGGACGCTCTGGCTTAAGGGTGGGGGCCCAGAGCTCGTACTGCCGGCCCCTTTCCTACTCGTCAGGGTCCAGGGGCTCAAAGGAGCTAGCACCTCTCCATGAGCTTGGGCAAGCCACATCACTTCTCTGGACCTTGAGTTTCTTTACCTGTAAATGGGGATGATACAGTTCCTTTGGTGGGCTGCCAAGGGATTATACGAATATATAAGGAAGTTTAGGTTTCCTAGGTGGCGCTAGTGGTAAAGAACCTGCCTACCAACGTAGGAGACATAAAAGATGAGTGTTCAATCCCTGGGTTGGGAAGATCTCCTGGAGGAGAGCATGGCGACCCACTCCAGTATTCTTGCCTGAAGAATCGCATGGACAGTGGAGCCTGGCAGGCTGCAGTCCATAGGATCAGAATGAGCTGGACATGACCAAAGTGACTTAGCATGCATGCATGCCCACATAAGGAAGTTTATGCTGTCAAATACCACATTAAAATAAATCATCATTATAAATAATATCTGTGTGACCTTGGGCCAGTTACCTAACCTCTCTGAACCTCACTTTCTCAAGATGAGGGAGAAGATGAGGGAGGAAGCAGGGAGGCTGGTCTGTAACATCCCTTCCAGCATCGTCTTCTTTGCATTGTGTCAATATTGCTTGCCTGCAAGAGGAGTTAGAAATACTGTGTCAGAGCCAGAATGGTCAGCCTGACTGCTCCCATTTTACAGATGAAGAAACTGAGGATCAGAAACAGAAAGACTTTCCCAAGATCATATAGAAAATGACAGAGTTGGCGTGAGGATAAAACAAATACTATGAAAGGCTTCTCAGAGTATAATTTTCAAAATATTAAATGCACAATTCATATAGAAATATACAGTGAGGGGCTCCCCTGGCAGTCCAGGGTCTGAGACTCGTGCTACAAATGCAGGGGGCCTGGGTTCAGTCGTGGTCAGGGAACTAGATCCCACCTGCCACAACTAAGATCAAAGATCCCAAGTGCTGCAACTAAGACCCAATGCAGTCAAATAAATAAATAAATACTTTAAAAAAGAAAAACATAGGGAGCATGTGTTAGTTTTCTTTTGCAGTTTATAAATGAAGGAACAAAGCTTGTTCAATGAAGGATATGAGAAAAAAAATTATATATACCTCTTTAGGGTGAGAGAGATTCAGTGAAAAAAACAATAACAAAAAAACCCCCAAGAATTCTGGAATATTCATAGGTTGCTAAGGTAGTTACAAAACTGGTTAGTGCTGTTTAGGACAATAAGATCATCATGTTGGGGTTATCTACTCTACTGGAAAGAAATCATTTGCATCTCTACCAGACAAAAATAATTGGCAACTTATCAGTTTTCTACCAGCTAACAGCTATCTTTACAGAGCCTGGGCCCCAATCAATAGTAAATAATAAGTCAAGCAAAGTGACATTCCCCTGGAGTGTCAGGTGACCCTTAGGAGGGCTTGTTAGACACGACTCTAATTTGACTTTGAAAGGACACCAGTTATCTATTTGCCTTATTTCCTAGTGTTGGATGATTTCACTTATCAGGCTGTTGCAAGAGTATAAACACTTCCCAAGAAATAAAAGACATCGATAATAATGAACATATCATTAGTGTGAAAAGGAATGGGTCAGCAGTAGGCCTATGAATGTCACAGCTGGGACACCTTCATTCAGAAGAGGAGGGTGTCTTTTTCATTTTCTCCAGAGCTCAAGGTCCTGGAGGGGAAGCGAGAGTGAAGGAATGAGAGGAAACCCCTTGTCATGCTTGTGAGGTCGGGATCCAGGAGCCCCATCCCAGAGAGCAGTCAAGGGTCTGGGGGTCATCAGAGAAATAATTTCTAAATTAGTCAGATTCTTTCTGGTGGAGTCGTCACCTCCCACTCAAAGTTTGCATTCCAAAATCAGCATAAGAAGCAATAATTGTCGGTGGTCAATTTTACCCTTGGGAAAAAATTCTTAGGAAAGCACCATGTTGAAGACCATATTACTGTTTCGGGATAGTTCTATGCAGCCACTTTTAGCTTTGACATTAGAACAGATTTCTAGTTCTTCAACGGAGTATCAGTTGGCTAATGTATACTCCCTTTAAAAAAAATTAAATATTTAAAGACTGGAGCTGTACTCAGTGGTGAGGTGTTTAGACCACAAGAGGCTCTGGATCTGAGGCAGACAGCGGTGGAGGTTGGGGGAGCGGTCGGGTGGCGGTGGTTAGGGGTGGGAGGTTGGAGATGGGGGGTCGGGGCCCACAGGTACATGCTACAGAATAGGCTCCTTGAGGGTCTGAAGCAAAAAGGATGGAGCAACCCTTGCCGTATTTTAATGGGTAGTTATCTTTAGTTCTTTCTCTCTGATTTTATTAGGCAAAATGCAGATAGTCAAATGTGTATATAATATAACTCTAAAGTTCTTGTATTGCACTTAAAAACACGGAGGTATTATTTACACACAGTAAAATGCACAAATCTTAAGTGCGCCCATTCAATGGCTTTTTGTGTAAATGAAGACACCCTTTACCACACCCAGATCAAAACACAGTACATTTCCATCACCCCAGCGACTTGCCTCGTGCCTCTTGTATTACCGTCAGCCCTCAGTGTCCACATCCACCGATCCCACCAACCACAGATCAAAAATATTTGAAAAGGAATTCCAGCGAGTTCCCCCAAAAGCAAAACCTGAATTTGCCACATGCAGGCAACTATTTACTACCATTTGCATTGTATTTACAATTATTTACATAGTATTTACATTGTATTAGGTATTATAAGTAATCCAGAAAGGATTAAAAGTATACAGGAGGATGTGTGTAGGATATATGCAAATGCTATACCATTTTATAGAAGAGACTTGAGCATCCTTGGATTTGGGTCTCCAAGGGGACACAGGGATGTTCTGGAACCAATCCCCTGCAGATACCAAGGGACGACTGTATTCCCTTCTACCCGCAAAGAGACCAGCGCTTCGAGCTCTCTCACCATGGGTCACTTCTACCTGTTCTTAAACTTCACGTAAATAGAATCCCTCAGTGTCTTTTGCGTCTGGCTTCTTTCATTTCACATGCCTGTGAGATTCAGCCTTGCTTTTGCTTCATGCCGGTTCGGTTTTATCGCTGAGTAGTACTCCGTGGTATGCGTGCAGCGCATTTCATGTAGCCCTGCTCCTTTTCTTGGAAATTTTTGGTTATGATGAAAAAAACCTAAGAACATTCTCATACAATCCTGCTCCCTCTGCTATCCTGTGAACGGGTGTGTTCAAATCCCCATGGTACTGTCTGAACACCAAGAAGGGGACACGGCATTGACACGGACACCCCTTCACTCTCATCTGCTACCTTGCACCTCCCTCTCCATCAAAAACACAGACCTCCAGACTCACTACCCAATCCACTTTTTCTCCTTCTCCTGGCCGGCTCTTTATTATGGAGATTGTCTTAATCTTGTCTTTCTCGAGAAATCCTTCCCCTCCTCTGGGGGCCTTCAGAATCTCTCCTTCCATTCTCCTTCCCTCCCCCCCCCTCCCCCCCACCGTAAGATCAGGGTTTCTCTTCTCCGTGCGGGGAGTGTTTGGGAATTGGGGAGGGAACTGTCAGAAACTGCCACACGTCTTCAGCGCCTGCACTTTATTCTTTGCCTCTCTCAGCAG